CTCACGAGAGAGAGAGAGAGAGAGAGAGAGAGAAAGCAAGCCACCAGGTCTGAGACTTGAACTGCAGGTGGCCATGTGGGAGTCCAACACCTTAATTACCATGCTACCTGCTAGCCCCACCACTTTCCTATTTTTAAAGTTTACTCATTTTTTTTGAGAGAGGCACCCCAAACAGGACACCCATGCTGCAATCTACACCCAATCCCAGCCGGCCCAGATCACACATGCATGCCCAGCTTGCCTAGAGGTGCCTGGGAGTTGAACCCAGGGCTTTTTCCATGTGAGTCCAGCTGTACTACCATCTGGCCCTACCTGGCTATTTTTGACGAGTACTTCAGCTGGATCACTAGTGCTTATGGTCTTCGAGGAAAAAGATTTTTCCTGTTTTGGACGGGATTTGGAGGTATTCACTGGAAGCTCTTCTTTAATCTCTTTTTCTAATTCTTCTGTTTCCTATAGAGAAAAGTAGTCCATTAGATGATACAAATCCAGTATTTACTAATAAAAATTTAGATCGTTACCCAGAAGACACCCTGAGAAAATAATTTCACTTCACAAACTGTCCAAACAACTTAATTTAAAAAATTAAATAATTATTTTATTTAACTTTCTTTATTTTATTTTGATCAGTGAGAGATAGTGAAGGTGAGAGAGGGAAAGTGATAAAGCAAGTCACCAGATCTGGGACTCAAACTGTGGTTGACCACGTGGAAGTCCAGTGTTCCTAATCATCCCACCACCTGCTGGCCCCCCAAACAACCTTAAAAAGAGCATATAAAATAGAATAGTAAATAGGAAAAATTAAGTTGGCTACACTCTAGAAATTTTGGTTCCCCATCTCCTACATTTAAAAGAATGGAAACAAACCAGTCACATCAAAATAGTATTTTTGGTTGGGGCCAGCCAGGTGGCATGGTGGTTAAGGTGGCTGGAGCACACATGGCCGACTGTGTGGTTCAAGTCCTGAACCCAGTGGCTTGAGAAAAACGCTGAGTGTGTGTGTGTGTGCTTGCCCAAAATCCTGAGAGGAGAACAGAGAAGGGACTGGATGGTACTTCTCTCACCAGGGGATGCCTTCTTATTTACTTCTTTTTCTTTGTCTCTGGTGAGAGAATGCACCCTACAGCAAATTGAAAAAGGGCCCATGTGTTTACTAGATAAAGAACAGAGAAAGAGAGGGAAAGTAAGAAATAATCCCCTGGGGAGATGGCCACACTGCAATCCCTTCTTTTCCATTTTCTGCTTGGAATTTTGGGCATGCACACACATGTGCCTGGTGTGATTCTTTAACCACTGGGTATGGGACTCAAATCGTGAAGTCAACCAAGTGGGATCCAGCTGCCCTAACCTCCACGCCACCTGTTGCTCCAAGAAATAGTATTTTTGGTTTTGTCTTTATTATAATCTAATTTTTTTCCCAGATAGAGACCAAAGAAAAAAAGAATGTAGACAGAATGCAAAAAGAAAGTTTCTGTTGGCTGGAAGACAAAAAAGCAGAAAAGGAACAAAGTAAAATAACCATCAAGCTCACAGTCAAGTGAAAAACTCCATTTGGTTACACATATTTCTTTAAAAAAATTCCTGTCTTTCAGTTTTTGCTGTAAGATGTGTGTGTTCATCAGAGATGGAGGCAGGTGGGTGGGGAGTATGGCCATGCCACAATCGTTCTTCATTCTCCTGTCAGGATTTTGTGCATGTGCACACAAGTGCCAACGTGATTTTCAGGCTGCTGTTTTCAGAACTCAACCCGTGCAGGCAGCCACGTGGGCTCCAGCCACTTTAAGCTCCATGCTGCTTGTTTGCCTTGGTTTTTCTAATTGTGCTAAATGTTACCTTCTAGTTACTTAAAGGGAGTCTTTGTATATGTGAGGCACTGTAATTCTATTTCCATTTCATTAATAGATAATCAAAACACATCTGAATAATTTGGGATTGTATTATTTTGGATTTAGCTATATCTTTGATATACATTTTCAGATTAATAAAGATTTTATTATGGGCCAGCAGGTGGCATGGAATTTAAGGCAGCTGGATCCCACATGGCCAATTGTGTAATTTGGAGGGGATTTCTCACTTTTCTTCTTTCTTTCTTTCTTTCTTTCTTTCTTTCTTTCTTTCTTTCTTTCTTTCTATCTGGTGAGTGTATGTGCCCTATAACTGAAAAAAAGTTCTGATTACAATATGCTATATTAATTCTTTTTTTTTAAGAGGTTTTTTGCCTTAAAGCGCATATGCTCACTGGAGAGACAAAGTGAGAGGGAAAGTAAGAAATCACTGTAGGGGCATGGTCATGCTACAATCCCTTACTGTCCATTCTCTGGGATCTTGGGCATGTACACACATGAGCCTGGCATGAGTTTTAAGCTACTGGGTCCAGGACTTAAACTACAGTCAACCATGTGTGAGTCTAGCTATGTAACTGCTACTCTATCTGCTGGCCCCACAATATGCTACATTAATTAATTCCTTAAAATAGTTTGTAATTTAAAAAAAAAATAATTATTTATTTAATTTTATTTATTCATTCATTTATTTTAATGTGACCAGAGATATACACACAGAGAGAGAGGGAAAGTGAGAAAGCAAGCGACCAGGTCTAGGACTTGAACCGTGTTTGGCCATGTGGGAGTGTCCAGTGCCTTACCCACCATGCCACCTGCTAGTCCCTGTAATTTTTTGTTTTGGTAGAGATTTTTGCTACAGAGTGTGTGCACTCGCCAGAGAGAAAGAGACAGAAAGTGAGAAATCATCCCCCGGGGGAATGGCAAAGCCACAATCCCTTCTCCTCCATTTTCCTCTCGGGATCTTGGGCACGCATGCACATGTGCCTGGGGTGAGTTTATTCCACCAGGTCCAGGACTTGAACCACGATCAACTACATGGGAGTCCAGCGACACAGCCATTACGCTAACTGCTGGTCCCCTGTAATTTTTTTTTTAAAGAGAGTTTTTTGCTATAGGTCATGTGAGCTTGCCAGACTGAGAAACAGAAAGTGAGAAATCATCCTCCAGGGAGGATGGGGATGGCCACGTCAATCCCTTCAGGGAGGATGGGGATGGCCACGCCATAATCCCTTCTCCATTCTCTTCTCAGGAGTTTGGGCATACACCCACATGCCCAGCGTGTTTAAGCCACTGGGTCCAGGACTCAAACTGTGGTCAACTATGTGAGAATCCAGCAACATAACCATTATGCCCCTTGCTGGTCCCCAACAGTTTATAATTAAAAAAAATTATCTTCATGTAAATTTGATGTCTTTTATATACATAATCTTTTTTTTGGGGGGGGGGGGGGGTTTTTTTCGCTATAGGGCACGTGTACTCGCCGGACAGACAGAGAGAGACATAGAGACAGAAAGCGAGAAATCACCCCCCAGGGGGGATGGTCACGCTGCAATCCCTTCTCCTCCATGCTCCTCTTGGGATCTTGGGCACGCACGCACACGCGCCCGGCGTGAGTTTTAAGTCACCAGGTCCGGGATGCGAACTGCGGTCGACTACGTGGGAGTCCAGCGACATAGCCATTACGCTAACCGCTGGTTCCCTATACATAATCTTCACATCTGTACATCATCTCACATTTTTCAGCATAATGAATGCTTGCTGTTTTGATATTTTACCTGTGCAACAGAGTCATCTTCACCTTGCTTCTTCTTTTTCTTTTTTTTCTTTTTAGATTTCCCAGTTGGAAGAGTTCCCTCTCCCTTTTCTTTATCATCATCGGAAACCTGAGATTAAAAACAAAAGTATTAAAGGAAACCAACTGATTAAGTTCGCATTAGTCAGAAAACTATTTTAAATAATTTCATTCATTAAGTTCAACCTTTATCTCCCAAACCTAAATAAGAATTAGTAAGAAGCAATAAAATAATAAAAAAAAATTACATATTGGGTTGTCGGGAAAGTCATGATGCATTTTTGCACATAAAAATATATCATAACTTTTCTGATGACCCAATATTTAAAAAACAAAGTACGTTGGGGCCAGTAGGTGGTGTAGTGGTTAAGGTGCTGAACTCCCACATGGCTGACCACAGTTCTAGTCCTGGACCTGGTGGCTTGCTTTCTCACTT